AAAACAAGACTTATTTGTAACATGAGAAGTATGATAAGGAAAGGAAGGTACGAAACGACTTATAGAACTTTCAAGAATCGTACTACACGCATAAGAACCAAAATTATACAAAACTATCACAACTAAACCACAAATATACGTAGAAAAATAACAGGAGGGAATTAAAAACTCCAAAGCTACTTCTGCAGATCAAAAAGTAAAACTCAAAAAAACCTCACCAAAAATTAACATAGAGATTGAAAATAAAAATAAAAACTCACAAAACCAAGTCCACAAAATTGGTAAAAAGTAAGTACCTACTTCGTATAACCGCTTTAACCACTGATTAAAACCAGAACCCTCCTATTTAAATAGATTTGGTACAACACAGGTGTAAAAATTTTCACGCGATTTCTTGCAGAAGACGTAGTGACATGAAAATAAAGTTTTTTATAAAGAAAATTTTCTGCCATTAATGGACTGAAAGACAGCAGAAATAAAAACAAAATTAGAAAAAGCTACATAATAGACCCGATCAAATCAAATATCCATTTTCCGACCTTCAATGCTAACTTTCATTGCACGCATGTTCTTGGTCTGTTTGTTCCTTTCTCGAAATTCCCTTTGTGCTTTATCAAACCTAGAATTTTGACGGCTTTTTGTAGCCCCATGGAACTGACCCTCTACATTGCTTTTTGGTCTAATTACATAATCCTTCTGTGATGGCCTAGGCACTCTGGCTCGAATAATAAAACCTTTATCGCCAGGACGTGGTTCAGACTCTTTATCCTTGTCATGACTGTCTGCAGAACTAAAATCACTAACATAAAGTTAATTTACTTGTTCCGCAAAAAACAACTTTATAACTTCTTCACATAAAAAATGATCAATTAACTCAAAAAACGTACCTCAAACGTCGTTTCTTGGCTTCAGGCTGCTGCGCATAATCACGTTGAACACGCTCATCTTTTGTCATTGTACTAAAATCAGTTTCCAGCTGAAATTATACTTTAAAATTACAAAAAAGTGCAGAGACCATAATTTAAATGTGACAATAAAGGAATTAGGTGTTTTCTTTTTGTAAGCAACAGTCAATATGAACCTGAAAGATAGGACGAGCCCACTCTCTAAGTAAATTCTGCGCTAAACGCTTATTCTCTGGTGTTTCTCTAGGATGTTTATATAACAGCATAACTGCTCGTCCAAGTCCTGACTGTTTTAAAGTTCCTGGCTCCAATCGCCCATACCCTTGCAAAATCCTTAACAATTCCGTCCTGATTTCTAGAGCCGGCAATGACTTATCGGGAAGTGGAGCAAGCCACTCACTGACTGCGTTCATCATTCCGTTATCTAGAGCAATGGTAAGTGACATAAAAACCAGGGGTTACAAATATTCAACTCGTAAACGACAAGATATAGCCAACGAGCAGTATGATAGATTAAAGTAGGAAGAACTGGCATAGAAAATAAAACAGCTTTAGATATACAAACAGAGTTTAACACCCACCAATGGTAGCTTCCATGTAATCATGCTTGATCAGCAAAGCCTTAACTGCTTTTAACATCTTACGCTTGTGCAAGGCCGGTTTTCTCTCCATATTACAGTGCCTATCTTCCTATTTAGAATATATTTTAAACAAGCACAAATAAAAGTGCAATTAAAAAGTTATGAAAAGCCAAGTATTCAATTAATCAAAACCAGACCGCTGTCAATTACCCCTAGAGACTCTTTGCAATTAAACTGTCAGAAATCAGCTTACCTAAAAAGCATAAAAACTAAAAAAAATAAAAACATCAATTTGGAAAAGTGGCAGTACTTTTGCGGCTCCTTTCATAGCATCAATCATTGACTTAATTTGTTCATCCATATCTCCGCCAACATAAATAGAACCATCTTTTCTTCTTCGTCTTGTCTTCTTTCTTTCAGCCTTTTTTTCTTGCAGCATAACATCAAAATCCCATACTCGCCTAAAACTATTACAGTAACAATCGATTCAAAAAGGCAACATACCTAAGACCTTCAGAGGAGCCATCATTAACGAAGAACCATAGAAACAAAAACCTACCCATCGTCTTCATCTTCCTCGCCCTCTTCTCTTATAGGCTGTGGTGAAACTTCACGAACATCAGCTGAAGCCTAAATGAACAGAAACTTCAGAAATCTGCTGGAATTGTTAGTTTAATACTTGACTAAAATCAAGAACTGAAAAAAAAACCTGACGATTTAGTAGACAGTTACTAGTTAAAAACGCTTATCCAGAAACAGTAAAAAAAATCCTGGAGATAAAATAGAGGCACAAAACAAAAACTTTGAATAAAACTTTTAACGTAGTGACCTCAGCAGTATGCTGTCCACCTTCTGCAAATTCTTCCTCATCGCTTTCCTCTCCAAAAATGTTCGTCATCAACTGTCCAACAGCAACCTCACCATCTCCTTGTTCGTTATCAGAATCTTCCTCAGCGCTTAAGAATGTAGTTTTCAAGTAAAGAGAATATAGTTTATCAAGGTAATAGTGGTAATTCTATCTGGCTAACAAAAACAGAAAAAAATTTGTGTCTTCTAGCGGATTAATCAAAACTGTTAATTTCCGCAAATAAAATTTAAATTACTTCTTTGGAGAACCTCCTTCAACATCGTCTTCTTCATCATCACTAGACATTACTACCCGGCGACGCTTTGAAGGTCCTGCACTATCTAAAAAATATACGACTGACCGTGAGCAAGAAAGAAATAAAAAGAATTTAGTTCAAAACTAAAATAAAGTAAAAAAATAATATTAAGGCAAATTAAAAGAGACTAAAATACCTGAATCTTGGGTATTTTCGACATCATCGTTTTCGCTTACCACTTTCTTTTCTCCCTCATCATCAGAGTCTTTTTTTTCTTCATCGTTCTGTTCACTTTTCCTTTCTTCATTATCATCAATACTTTTATCAACCTTGCTTTCCTGACTGTCATCCTGATCGCTCACTACGTTATCATCCACAGTGCTTTCAATCGTCTGGTTAGGGTTGCTACAAAACTTGGAAAATTGAGAAGAAACAATATTGCTAACTTTTAAAGCAATAAAAAACAGCAAAGTTTTAGAAAAACCCAGCTTTCTCGGAAAAAAATTTTCCAGGAGAAACTTCGGACTTGAATATATGAAAGTAAAAGCATAAATTTTTACAAAATGATCGAACTTTTAACTTGAAGGAAAGCAAAAAAAACACCTTGATGAGCGATCTGTAGCTTCCTCTGCTGATTCTGGGGTCTAAAATAATCCAATCATCAAAAGCACGTCATCATAAAAGAGTAGAAGAGGGAACAAAAAGCGGAAATTACTATAACATTTTACAAACCAAACTATAGTGGGACTTCAGCAAAACCCTTTAACAAAAAAACAAACGTCAACTTCATTGAAGTAAACAGCAAACCAATTATATCCGCCTTCTCGTAGTCAAAATGAGCAAGTACCAACGTAAGAAGGCAGCAAACAATAAAACCCACTATCCCTCTTCGCAGTAAAACAAAATGAATAAAACTTATCAATTACTCACCATATCAGGTTCGGAAGTTGATTCTTGATTTGGCGAAGCACCGCCAGCAACATTAGATTTGTCACTCTCAGCCTCCTCACTCATCTGCCCAAAAGACATTACATAAACAATCAATTTCAAATTGAAGCAACGGCAAAAAGAAGTCAAGAGCAAAATAATTTGCACATAAGCAGACTGCATATGAAAAAAAAAAGTTGAAAAAAGTAAAACAGAAACCCGAAGTAAACGCCATAATAGTTGTTTAACAGAATAAAGATCCGTGTAACATAAATTCACATATATGGAAAAGAAAAAAGCAATCTTTATACAGTTTAGCTGGTTTACTCTCAAAATATTTTTAACTCAAAGAATTGGGAGCATATGTTTCATAATCAGAGATAAGAACAGCTGAATGACGAAGCCATCAGCTGATACTAATTTCGTTATGTGCCTCCGCATCCCCGTACCTCAAACTGAGACATAAATGGTACCAAGAAATACAAAATAAAAGTCTTAGCCTAACTAGTGAATCAGGAAATTATGGAGCTGAGCAGGTTATGGTTGTTGAAGGCAGAAACAAAGAGTTTCTGTAGTATTTATAATAAAAGTTACAATTTGCATTAGTGAACAAAAATCACAACGCAATATCAAACTACAGATCTTTTCTCAGGCTTTCCTAGAGAAGCTTTAAAGTAGCCAGTTAAAGAGTATCAAACATATTAATCATGGTCATAAAAGCCAGAAAAAAGAAGAGAGAAACTGACGCGAATGACGTTGTTGCCTGGGCAATTTGAAGTGCCAGTCAGCAGTGAGAATTTGTTGTGGTAGCCTCATGACCAAAAAAAAAAAAAAAAAAAAAAAAAAAAAAAA